ACTCCCAACTTATCTCAGGGATTTACGTTTTGCACCTTTTCTAAGACGTTATGTCCCAGAAACTGTCGACTCTCGGGTGACATCGGTCCACCAGCAATCAACCCTTATGACTTTTGCAGCCTGTTTGTCTCAGTCAGAGCCTCATATGCCAAATATTCCCATTTCCTGACCTTCATTCTCCCAACCCTTAACCATTCCTTCTAATCGGGGTACTTCTCATCGATTTCCTCAGTGATACAACCCTCATCACCAACAGTATTGGTGATTGCCTTGTTGAGTTTGAGTCTAGTGGGAACTCGAATGTTAGAGTTTCTTCTTTGCTGGCATCCCTTCATAGACGATCAATGGGTAATATGGGTTCTTAGAAGGATTTGTTATCCAGTTTCTTTCCTCACCTCCTGCTTCTCCTTGCCACATTTCCTTCTCTCCTTCTCGAGATCCTGTGCCCTACCAGCATCTGTCAGAGGTGTTTCGAGAATTGCTTTTACAGAGGGTGATCAAACTGATTCACTATCTTTCCGGGGTTTTTATTCCCATCTTTTTGTTGTCCCCAATAAAACCAGGGATTGGTGCCCAGTCATAGATTTATCATACTCCCCAAGTTCACCATGGACTCTTTTCTCACTCTGAGATGGGTATTTACCCCAGAATTGTGAATGATGAAGATGGATTTCTCTAATGCTTACCTCCATATCACAACAGCACATCCGTCTCGACTTTACCTTTGGTTTGTCCATCTCGGGGTAGTTTACCAGTTTTGACCAATCTCTTTCAGACTTGCCTCACCTCCCTATGTGTTTTGACACATAGTCCAAGCCTTTGCACTTCATCTCAATGCTCTGGGGATAAAATTTCCTTATTATCAACATGACTGGCTTCTTCTGGCTCATTCTGAGTTGGAATTGTCCACTCATACTCACCAACTCCTTTCTGTGATGGCTCAAGTGGACTGGTTGATCAAATTGGAGAAATTATTCCCTCGACCCACACAATATCTAGTCTATTTGGGGGCCTTTTTCAACACAAATATCAGTCATATTCCACCTTCTCCTTTATGTCTTCATTGAATGGAACTTTTGGTTCACCATGGTTTCTCGGCTCAGTCATGTACTGCTTGCGAGGATCTATTGCTTTTGGGGATGTGGTCCTCCATGACTGCACTGGTCCCTCTAGGTCATGTCCATATGAGATCCTCTTTCTACTCCCATTACCATTCCTACTTCCCTGCGAGATAATCTGCATTGGTGGCTGGACAAAGCCCATACGTTGGTGGGCGGGCCATTGGTCTACAGGCAAAACCGTCGTGCATATCAACATTCTCGAACTTCTAGCAGTACGTTGGGCATTGCATCACTTCCTTCTCCTCACCCATTATTGTCTGGTGATAGTTTATTTGGACAATTCTCTGGTGGTGGCATATATCAACCACCAAGGAGGCACCCAGTCCAAAGTTCTTTGTTTTCACACACTATACTGGCCCCATTGCACATCTCGTATACCTTATTGCATGTCATGTGCTGGGTGCTTTCAATATCATCGCAGATCATCTGTCACACCCCAACCAAATATATGAAATGGAATGGGCATTAGATCCACTTGTTTTCAAAGATCTTTGCCACAGGCCTCAATACCAAGCTGCCCCTCTGTAGGTCACCTTTACTGCATCCACAAGCTTTGAGAGTCAATGCCTTCAGCCAGAATTGGTCACATAAATATTTTTTTATCTACTCTCCCATCCGATTGCTTCATAGGGTGATTTATTTTGTCCACTTCACTCCTTATCTACCTGATTGCTCCCTATAAGCCAGTTCAACCTTGATTTCCAAGGCTACAGTGTCTGCTCATATCACCACCTGTTCCTCTTCCACCTTCTCTTTCCCTTTATCATCATACTTGATTTAAAATTCTACATCTCATTCTCCATGTTCTGCATCTTCACGCCTAGATTTTGTCCAGTCCTTGGTAAGAAGATCTGTTTTCACACCTCAAGTCGCATCCTTGTTAGCTCATTCCATACAGCCGTCTTCCATGGACGTATACCAATACAAGTATGAAGTATTCTGCTGTAGGTCTGCTAATGGGGTTTCCCGAGTACAAACCTTCTGTGACTTGTGTGGCAGAATTTCTCAACTGGATCTTTAACATTGGGTCTTCAGTCTCCTCACTTTCTGGATATTGGGCAGCTCTATGCCCATACCTTCCGTTTTTCCCTATACCGTAAAGTTTTTACTTCCCCTGTTGTTATCTTGCTCATGTGTTCCTTCCAGATACATCGACCCCTTCCAGATTGGTCATCGATGCCCTTACTTTTACCTCCATTTAAACCACTTTCCTTGCATTCCTTGTTTCATCTGTCCCTTGTAACATATTTCCTCCTCCTCTTAGCCTGTGGATGTCAAATGTCGGATTTGTCTGCCATTGATGTTTTAACGTACCCTTTATCACCCTACCTATCTTATCCTTTATCCTGATCGTTCCTTTCTCCCTAACACTTTGGCAGCTCAGGATGCCTTTTCATCATTTTCTCCTATTTCTCATCCTTTTATATCCCATCTTTACCCTAGACTGGGGTGATTGACCATGGAGGCACCCTCCTGAATGAGTTCCACAAAGAAAGGGCTAGAATCATTTAGTCAAGAGTAGGGTGGTAGTGTTCTGCTGGTGTAGATGAGATGTGGCCTCCAGAGGAGTTGAACCATCACCTTGTTGGTTTCCGTGGCCTCATGATACCATTTACACAACCACCGGAGTCAAGCCATCACCTTACTGGATGACATGGCCTCCAGAGGAGTTGAGCTTTCACCATACTGGATGATGTGGCCTCCTGACACCATTTACACAACCATTGGAGTCGAGTCATCACCTTACTGGATGATGTGGCTTTCTGTTACCATTTACACATCCATGAGACTTGCCATCACATTCCAGGATGATGTGGCCTCCTGATATAATTTCCTCAACCATAATAGTTGAGCTGTCACCTTACGGATGGTATGGCCTCCTGATTCCATTTACACAAACATTGGAGTAGAGTCGTCTCCGTACTTGATGATGTGGCCTCTTGATACCATTAACATAAACACTGGAGTTGAGCCTTAAAAATTGCAGTTCACCCCTTCAATTGGGAGAACTCATCCTATCCTCGCGTGGACGTTGGTACCCCTCCAAGAGGTTTTGGATGAGAGTGAACCAGTCACCACAAGTCCTCGCACGATTTGCTTCCACGAGATTGACATCCTTTCAATACCGGATGTCGATTCCAAAATTGATAGATCAGAGATGATCTTTTTGTCATACCCAGAAATTATCATGGGTCGTAATCCCCGATTCTTGGGTTTGAGGTGAAGATGGTATGATTTTCATCCTACCCTCGTGTAAATGTTGGTACCCCGCGAGGAGGTTTTGGATGTAGTTGACTTACTGAGTACAGTCCTCTGTGCCCTAGCCACTACACCTCTAAATTTCTGCCCTTATGTCTTTACACATTGGCGAAAAGCATACCTAGCTCAGAAGTGGTGCTGTTCTTCTTTTCTGATTTTTGGATCTATCTCTCTCGTTGTCAAGAGTATCCTTCAGATGCCTTTGAGGGTACTTTCGTTTTCCTTGCACTGGCCCCTCCTCCTTTCCAATGTGGGATTCTAGCTATTTATGTGAGAGGAAGTAAGTACTGTATCGGAAGTTATAATTTTCCTATACTGAAAATATATTTCTAATAGGTACTTATCTTATCTTGCACTTCCCATCCTTCCTCTCTACATCTCTGGTGCTCATACCTTTTACCAAACTTCGAAGTGAAGGTTCGGTATAGGAGTGTAGCGGGAGTCACGTGTCACATGAGCATATCATGCTACGATTGGCTAATAGATGACACATGATGATTTACAGGAGAGGCAAGTTGGAATATAGTAATTCCAACAAGGGGGGAGTGGAAGGCTTGTGGCATGCATAAAGAAAAAGTTTGCATATAGAGGGCAGCACTGAACAAGAATAGTTAATCTTGTGAGAGTAGGTAAGTACCTATAGGAAATACATTTTCAGTATAGGAAAATTATAACCTCTGTAGGTTACAACCCAGCATGACATGTGAACTTGAAAAGCAAGAAATATAAATATTTGTTTCTCTTAATTTTGGTTTTATTTACTCTTCAAAACAGAACACTTTCAGGGATCCTACAGAAGTACATCTAGTTTATAGATGTTTTCACTTCCCTGGTAAAGACTTCAGATTGGTTAACCAATTAGAAACATGCTATAGATATTGGCAAGCCAGAATATAAATTTCAACTTCTTATTGCTTTACTAAGATATCACTATTTGTTCAATTCACATTAATGTGTCCCTCCTATATCCTCTGTATTTTAGAAATGTCTATAAATTTCTCTGACATTTCTGTTGGACATGATTATAACCAATAAAAAGAGCAGGTTCTATACTCCATCAATCAAATATTGTTCTGTTTTGTTTTTATTTTAACAGCAAACACTCTGAGAGCTCAGTGTGTTTCGACTAAAGATGTTGCTTCAAGCACTAATGGAATTTCTAAAACATTCAGAATTATAACATATATAGTTTCATGGCTACATGGTGGTTAAAATAAATGAGCCTATATATCAACAGTTAAGCAATAATAAACTTAATAGTGATCTCTAGACTATATTTCAAACATTTCTAATCAACATTTATCAGGTTTTAAACAACACTTATCATTTGACTCAAATATGTTTGGTTCATGATAAAAGATAGTCTGATATTATTATGCCATAATATAACTATAATTTTACCAATATACATTTTGACCTGACATAATGTTAACAAACCTAAAGCTCCAGAGCACTTGTGTTTCTTCTTATAAATATCTCAAATGACTGACAAAATCAAAGCAGTCATCATTACATTTCACACAGAGTTGTTAGTTTCAGTGAGTTATATTAACTTTTTGTAATTCAGTAATCAAAAGTTAAAATCATTTTATGAATATTAATATATCTTTCTTATCTAAGGAATTGACTGAACCATCAAAAAAACTAGCAGAAGAAACATCCAATTCTGAGAAGCCAGTTTCTGAGGAAAATAACATAGATACAGATCAGTGAGTGCTCCGTGTTTATTTTTTATTTCATCTTTGCAAGTAAAAGTAGTACATGATTACTTTAATTATAATGTGAAAAAAGCCATAAGCCAATAAAACCAGAGAAACATTTCTATTCTAGATGGCTTTTTTTATTTTTAAGTAACATGATAATAGGAATGAACTGATTTTTGTTTTCCACCAAAAAACAAAATTAATGCACAGTGTATTTTTATCCAACAGTAAGCTTCGTGGTACAGTAACTAAATACAGTAGGGAAAGTAATGCAAAGTGTGTTTTACCCAACAGCGGGTTCCTGGTACAGTAGGTAAATAAATAAGGGAAAGTAATGCGAAGTGTGTTTTACCCAACATAGGGTTCCTGGTACAGTAGGTAAATAAGTAAGGGAAAGTAATGTAAAGTGTGTTTTACCCAAAATAGGGTTCCTGGTACAGTAGATAAATAAATAAGGGAAAGTAATGCAAAGTGTGTTTTACCCAACATTGAGTTCCTGGTACAGTAGGTAAATAAATAAGGGAAAGTAATGCAAAGTGTGTTTTACCCAACATGCGTTCCTGGTACAGTAGGTAAATAAGGGAAAGTAATGCAATGTGTGTTTTACCCAACATAGGGTTCCTGGTACAGTAGGTAAATAAGGGAAAGTAATGCAATGTGTGTTTTACCCAACATAGGGTTCCTGGTACAGTAGGTAAATAAGTAAGGGAAAGTAATGCGAAGTGTGTTTTACCCAACATTGAGTTCCTGGTACAGTAGGTAAATAAATAAGGGAAAGTAATGCAAAGTGTGTTTTACCCAACATAGGGTTCCTGGTACAGTAGGTAAATATAAAAAACATTGCAGAACAAACTTCTGATATCATACATAATATATTTCTTTACTAGGAAACATTTTCAGTAGTGTGCTTCTTTAGTTTTCACTCAAAGCTAAATACATTTTGATATAGAAATCTAAAGAACATGCATGTGTACCTTTCATTATTTTCTTTGCATATTTCATTATTTTGTGGTGTCTAAAGAAAGCAAAATATAATGTTGTAAGCTATATTTTCCATGTTATGATTTAGTTGTTAGATATAAAAAATTCATAAAAGTACTCTTAGAATACATAATTTAGAAACTATAGAACTTGGAGAAAGAGTGCATTATAAATATGACTAGTCAATGTGTGAAGATCATGGAGAATTCAATGAAGTCTTCAATGAGTTATTGAAAATCGGAATTTGTAGCGAGAGTTATTGCATCTATTCTGCTGTTCAGTTACTTGAATTATATGTTTGTTTATCAAAACTATATAAATTAGGAAAATATCCCACTGTTTATATTGAAACATTCTATTTGAAATGAGGCTTACCACTTGTCTCTATATTTCTGTTCAAACATTATCTGTGAAGTTGGGAGTACAGGTGAACAAGGCTATAGTAAACTTATATTGAAGAAATAAATTAACTTGTTATCTGCACTGGACTTCACATTAATTTCACCAAATAGTTCAAATAACCTGCCCAATGAAAGAACACATTACAACAGTAGTGTACTTCGTAACTTTCAAATAAGTATTTCATTCAACTAAAATTTTCTGAACTTTATTTGAAAAGTTTCATAATGCTATATAGGGCAAGTGCAGAAACAGTCAAATGTGGATAAAAAGATAGGGAATAAAAATTTCTAGTACACAATTAATTTTAGATAATTTTTGTTTGATATTTGATGGTTCAATTAAAATAAATTAGAGGGAAGGCAGCTAGTCAGATGCACCCAAGGCCAACTCTTAAGTTACTATAATCGAATAGTAGAGTATGATAGTTACTCTTATAATGCACCCATGTCCCCAAAATGCAGAGCATGATTTTTTTGGTAACAGAACATATGCCATGAACTATTGGATTCCGAATCTGACACACTAACCAAGACCGGAATAGAATGATATAAATGTGAAAGTGATTACATCATTGAAATAGATGCCACTGATGTTAGAATAGATAAATAAACCTGAGTTGGTGGATTTGGGTATTAATTTTAGTTGTATTATGAACTTGTAAACATTAAATAAATGCAGCACATTTAAGGTGTATGTCATTCCCAAAGGCTACTTGATGAAAACTAGTCTTGAAGTATTGTAGGTGATTAGAACTTGCTTGTATAGGTCATTTATAGCAGATATCTGTTAACTTTATGTGACTTTTAAAGCAACGAATATTTCAATCTTTAAAATTCAAACTACAGAATTTTAGCTTTTCGAAAACAAGTGCACATATTTCTGTATATGGTTACATGTAAGTAGATATATTTAATATATTGACCTAAAGGATGTGTAATTTCAGTGCAAAATGCAATTTTCCATTTATTAGATTTACTGTATTTGTTTGATAAATCAGAATTCATTATCTCAAATCACTAAGTCAAGATAGTTTTTTCATTGTTACAACCTGTTTTGAGGTTAGTTTGTACTACTAAAGAAGTCCATTTTTATGCTTTAGAATTATTACTGAATATTTACTATTCTTTTGACATCATTGTATAACAGGAAAATAGTGGTTAACAAAGTAAGAACTGTTTTCTTTAAACGTCTTTCACATCTAATACTAAGTCAGTTTAGGAAGTAATATTTCAAATGTGTATTACTTCATTGTCATCATTCATTTCATATATAGGCTCATTAAGTAATAGCATTGCAAATATCTTTGTTGTATTAACCCAGTTATCATGTGTTTTTACTGTGAGAAAATGACATCACATTTTAAAATATTCTGTTATGCCTCTACAACAAAAGTACCTATAAAATGATTTAGATAAGGTAATTAAAAAATTCTGAACTTCTAAATATGATATTGCTCTTTCCCCCTCCCCATTGATGGCTGATCAGCCAATCTGATGGTTTATAAGGCTTAAAACTAGATTTCAATACTTGCAGTTGGCAGAGCATAAATAGCTCATTGTGTAGCTTTGTGTTTCACAACAAACAAAATTGCCCTCCTCCAAAAGGTTTTAATTTTTAATAGTATGGTAGTCAGTACATTTTGTACATGGTGATGTCAGAAACTGTAAAATTCAACTTTCCATGTTACAGGATCTAATAAAATCATAAATATATATCACCTGAAAGCTGGAATTAATTTCTTTCTCAGTCTGTTGACAGTAGGCCCTCTTTGTTACTTATGTGGAGTATAGTATATATTTCTAAACTTTTGGTTAATAATTAATATTATCTTTCAATCAGAGCAAGCTGCTTACTTAGAACAAAACTAAAAATCAACCTGGTAGGTCTGTTTAATCCATATAAAGCAGCCCTATGAGCATGCATGTAAGACATTAATAGTTTTGTATTCTATAGAGAGGTAATTATTTAATAGTTTTCCTTCTTTCTTCATTTTTTTGAAGTAATTTTTTTGGCAGTTCATTTTCTGTATGCATTAATTCCTGCTGTTGTAATTAGAGATATATATGAACAGCAGATTTGTGTATGAAGTCCCACTAGCTAAGGTACAAGTGACAACGTATTGTTCTTTTTTACTACAACTGTACGTAATTTCTAAGAGGACAAATACAAAGTTTATATATAAGGTGGTATAATTAGAATATATATGTATTTTGTTGTTGTTGTTTGTATAAGACAAACAGTAATACACCAGGAATATAATCAGTGCTGAAATCAAGCAAACCCATGTTTTGTTATCTTCAGTTGTTATTGAGAGAACAGTGGAGAGAGCATTAACATTGTGCTTGGACTAGGTGTGTGTGTGTGTGTGATGGGTCTTTTAGTTTTAAGAGAGACTGATGTTGCTTGAACTTAGAGAACTATAATGAGAATAGAATCTCACCTTTGTGGATATCATTTTAGTTTTAGGGCACTGCTGATAACCTGACATTATTGTTTCAATGTATCCAAGAAGTAAGCTTGAAGAAATTGAAACTGGGTATGTGTACAGTGTTGCTCATGGAGGTGGAGTTTCTCAGACATATGTCCTTTTAATGTTCTCAGGGTTGCCTCTTTTACCATTCCAATAATAATCAAGAATAAAACATGTTCAGTTGAGCTTTCATAAAGAAATGCCACCATATTCCAGCTCCACACAACAGTGACATATTCTCTATATTTTTAATATTTTGCACTGAACTACCACAATGAAATAAAAACTGTGTTGATGTGAAAGATAATTTTCATGCATGCTTATATGACAACAATATTGTATAGGCCTGTTGCAGTCTGTATTGTCTGAAACATTAAAACTGATATAAATCAACAGTATTTATTTTTAATCTTGTGTATAGAACTTTCCTCTGATCTCCTTTTGGGAATTATGTACAGCTGTTTCTAATAGACAGTTACTTGCAGTAACCTGAGAGGTTCCTAGCATCATCCCCTTCTCTAACATTCTAATGCCAAATCAGGTTTCACCATAAGGGTCCTTATATGTCATAAAGTACTATCCAAAGCAACTGCTTCAACTTGCATGGGGACAAGTTAAGTTAATCTATTACATTTCCCATGACACAAGTAATACAAAACCATTGCTAACTTATACTATTCCAAAGTGTAACTACTGGATAAAGTCTAGTGCAGTAAGTGAAAGTTTTCAAAATTTATAATCACATAAAGGAAGGAAGCAAAGAGATTGTGAGAAAGTAAGTAATCCCAGAGTTCAGACAGACTATATATTGATGATTTTATAAGCTTCAGAAACTTGGTAAAAAAAAAACATGTTTGATTTTACACTTATTGACATTACTAACTTCAAAAATTTTCTATTCTTAAACTATTTGAGCAAAACAAAAGAAACAACCTTTTACAAAAATCTGTCATTTTGGCTGTGTTTTATACTTTGACAAGTTGTATCTGTACAGGAGGGAAATTTGGTTATTTCTACAGTAATATACACAATGGGGGTTTTGGACCACTACCCCTAGGCAGGACCCAGAGGCCTCTCGAATAACACCTTCCAGCTTAGTTTTAGCCTCCATAAAGCCCACCAGGTATAACAAGAAAATATGCCTTGCCTAACT